AACGGAATCACGTTGCCTCAGCTGTGATCCCTGCTAACCCGCCCTCGCCCGGCCTCTGGATCCCAGGAGGCGAGGCTGGACACTCCGGCAGTGAGACCAAACGCCTTTGCCACTGTGTTCAGGTGCCTGGGCCTCAGCTACGTCTTCCAGGGCGTTTGTTCTGATTGGCAGAAGTGGGGCCTGGTGGGACTCAAGCTGCAAGCGAGTCTGAGAAATGGGGTCTCCGGCTTTAGCACCTCTGGCCTGAAGTAACTCTCCCTGTGAGAGGGTGGGATGGACATGAGGGAGCCAGTCTCCAATTTCTGTCTTCTTGGGGAAAGAGCCACTTGATGTGGGGCCTGCAGGGCGGTCGAGGAGCCCAGGACAAGGACATGTGAGCAGGGGCCGCTGTGCGCAGCAGGTCTCATGGTGGGCAGCTGTGGCATGCACGCCCGGCTCAGGGAGACAGAGTGATTCGGAGTAATAGTCGCACGAGATGTGGAACGAGGAGCACAGGACTCGAGGGAGAGGCACAGCGGACTGATTTCGAAGGGCTTTGGATTTTACACTTTGAGTAGGGACACCCAGCAAGGTTTTAAGGAGCGAATCTGTATGTGTGCGGGTATGTGTATGTGTGTGTGGACAAAGGAGAGAGAGGAGAGAATGGGTTGGGGGGGGCAAGGATTAATTTCCCCTGACTGCTGAGCAACGGGACGTGTTGCACACAGGGATGTGCTGGCACATGTTTAACAAGTGGGCTCCCCAGAGGGAAGAAGTCCTGACTTGTGGAGCATGCCGATTTCTGTGCTGTAGATGCTTCCGACACAGGGACAGTCTCTTTCAAGCTACTGACATGACGTTGCTGAGCACGGGGCTGGGAAGAGACAGGACAACTGGTCCTTGAGAGCTGGTTCCAACGGGCTCCAGAACTGTATTGTGATGCAAGAACATTCTCAAAATAGTTCAATCAGATGCAGAGTTCCATTTTACAAACTGTGAAACTGAGGCCTAGAGAGAGAAGCATCTTACCTCAGGGTATGCAACTAAGTGGTGGTGGAACCCTGCTCGGGGTCCAGGCCTGCCGGTTCTCAAAGCCAATGTTCCCTCACGACAGATGTGCCCTCTGGGAGCGGTGGGTCAGATCTCCAGGCAGTGCCGAGCCAGGCTGGCACGTGGCAGGACGGTTCCAGGCGACATGCAGATGACTGGGCGTGTGTTCCAGTAAGGCTTGATTTACCGAACGTGGGGCAGGTCTGCACCGAAGGGGCCGGAAGGAAGCAGGGTCGGAGGAGGAGCCGCGTGAAGGTCACGGAGGAGGCTGAGAAGTGACCACGGCGAGCCCAGTGCGGCAGGGTGTCAGGGAGCGTGGGCATGCTGGGCAGAGTTGCAGGACGCAGTTGCTGGCCTCCGTCACATCAGACGGGGATGGGCTGGGGGAGGGGCAGAGCTATAAATGGGAAGGGAAGGGTAATTTCCGGTCTGTAACTGTGAACACGGTGCCATTGGTGGGGTCCTCAGACACGGGTTTGTTTAGGAGCTCATGTTTCCGTTTGGGCATGTTGAGTTCACGGGGCCCGTGGAAAGTTCGAGGGGGGATGTCCAGGAGGAAAGGGGAAGCCCGTGTGCTCAGGAGACAGATCTGAGTTAGTGATGAAGAGCAAATCAGGTCAGAGCTGGCAGCTGAAACCTGGGCAGCAGATGAACTTGTAAGAGAGAGCGTGGGGAGGTCAGAGAAGAAGCCAAGAGAGGGAGGGTCTCAAGGCGAATCCGCGCAGAATCCTGTTTCTGTAGGCAGGGTAAGAGCGTTTCCGGCATGAGCGAGTTCAGCGGTGCTGGGCGTTGTCCTGGGGACTTGGATGCAACTCCTTCAACCCCACGTCAGCAATAGGACACTATCCTGCCAACTGCTGTGAATACCTCCCAAAGGTGACCGCCAGCTGTCGGCCCTCTTTGGGGACTGCCTCGCCTGCAGAATGCCGCCTGGTCCTGGGCCTCACCTCCTGCCAGGGGCAGCCCACATCCACTGACCTTCACAGTGGGATACAGGCCCAGATCTCTTGTCCCAGCTTGGGACAACTCTGCAGGGCCACTGTCGCTCCAGATGTCCCTGTGGAGTTGGCCGAGGCCTGAGTTGGAAGCGTGCTGTGACTCAGCTTCTCCCTCTGCCCACGCTGCTTCCTTCCCCTGCCTTCTGTAGGTACGGACCCGAGGCACCCCCAGACAGACATCCTGCTGGCCCTTCATTTCAGCATCTGTTCTCGGGGAGCCCAGCGTGCGACAGACGCTCATTCCTCTGTCCTCTGTCCTCTGACGCTGCTGTTCAAGGGTAAGCAGGACCAGACCAGCCCATTCATTCATCAAACTTTAAAACAAACCGGTGGTGGCTGAAAACCAAGACTCTGACGTCTTATTGACTGAATAAAGCTTTATTTTAATGCAAAATAAAACAAGAAAACTTTGTATATTCATATATAACAACATCCAAATGTTTTCTGTGGTACAAATGGAATCATCTTAAAAAGTCTGTAAAGAATTTATTCTCCACCCCCATATGCCAAAATATGATTCACATATTTTATATTCAGAACGTATGAACAGACTTGTATCACATAAGCACAGGAAAACACGAGACAGAGTGACTGCACCAACAGCAGGTTTTGTTTTTATGTTCCAGTAGTAAACAGCACCGCAGTCAGCAAGGGGGAGCAGAGCGGTTCGGGGCCAGCGCGCTCTGCACTCACAGGGGTCGGTGTGCCCACCTTGTACGTTAGGCTGCATGTGACTCTACTTAAGGACAAGAGGGAGAAAGAGTGTGTCTTAGAAGTAGCTGCATGTGAGAGTCGAGGCTTATTTTAGAGATCTAACTTTTGTTCTCCTTTGTATTGGAAAGCTGACTGTGTAGGGGTGTCGCATGAAGACTCCTCTTTGTGGTCTCGCGGTGGCATGGTTTCCGCCTAAGTCAGTGTGAACTGGGAGTGCAGACGGATGCTCCTCTGGGCTGTCTCCGAAGCCCACTCCCTCCTGCCTCATTGTGCTCAGTCTGGACTTTCTGCTGCTCATGGACTCGGAAAGCAATAGGGTGTCTACACAATTTAGCTCCAGATTGAAGGCCGTTCATTGTGGATTTGAGTTTAATGCTCACAGGAATTTAAAAGACACACATTCCTCTCCGCTCCAAACTCTGCAGATCTCTCTACCCCCTGAAACACTAAGATGTTCCTCCAGAGAAAATAAAGGTGGTGGTTACAGGTTTGGAGAACAAATGTTTTAAAGGCTTGATCTCTCTGCCTCCCGCCTCTGGGCACGACAACTCCAACAGTCCCCGGGGGGATTTCCTTCAGAAAACAGGTTTAATTTAAGAAATTCAAGAATCTTTGGAAGAAATAATGAACCATGTTTTAATTTTATCCAGTGGGTGGCAAAAATAACGCTACAGCCAAGTCGCAAACCTCCTCTACCAGGCGGTGGCCCAGTTCCCCCATGGGGAGGCCGTGGGTCTGTGGCTCTCACCCTGCTCCTGATGACAAAGCCCTTGCTCCATGCTGTCCTGTGGGCGTCGATGCGTACAGACCTAAGAATCTAAGAATAGGAGCTTCGCAGTAATAGTTTCCCACCTTTTGATCGTTACTCAATTGTGATTTAAGGAAATGCTGTGCCTGAGCTGCCCTTCCATCCACTGCCTTGCTGTAGTGGGGGAGCAGCACCCCACCCAGAGAGACTGCCGCAGCCCAGGGACGCAACAGGCGGACTAGATGCTGGGGTTCTCTCCCTCCCGGGGGACCACATTCTCCTGAATCTAAACGTTTTCAGTGGTTTTCTCCCTTTCATCTCTCTACTCCTGTACAAAGGGACAAGAAAAGAGGCTTTTAAAATATCTAGTGACTTGAGGCCAAAGCATCATGTCAAGGCTGAAACGACCCAGCAGTCAGATCTCGAGCCAGGTGGGTGTATGCGGATGGATTTACAGCTCCCTGGGCCGGCTGTACCTGGGGGGAGGGGACATTATCGTTCTGAGCTACGAGGAGACACCTGACCGAATGTTTCCAAGGCCCTAAATAAACCAGGAACGGATTCCTGCTACTGGGAACCTACTGATTATAGCCTGGTCTTCTAAATACTCTGAACGACCTGTTCTCTTAATGCTGGGACGAGTTCTGTAACCTCTGGGTGGTGACAATCGGAGGGCTGGTACACGGGCATTTATAGAGCTTACATTCAAGCTGCTCTTCATTGTTGCTGGCTTGATGGGGCCTCTATCGTACACACAAGGTTAGGTATTTTCGGGCAGGGTCAATGTGCTATACTTCAAGAAGGAAAGAAAACGGCTATAATTGTTTTGTGGTCCACCTAAATAGTACCTTCACATCATTGGCTGCCCTCGGGACTTGCAGCTGTTTTACTGTGTATACAACCCCAGACCTCGCGGGGAGCAACCACCGGAGCCTGCCTGCAGGAGGTACTGTGCTCACAAGGCGGCAATGGTGAAAATACGGGCCTTCTTCCTACAAGGGCCTCTCCTCCAACACGCAATTTCTCACTTTCTGCTGCTTCCCCTGGCCACCTCCTGTGAGCCTGGCCACGGTCCAGAGGCAGCTTCTGGCTGGGTCATATCCAATAGTCCCAGACATTTAGCTAAACTGTGGGACAAACCGAAGAGCTGGTTTTCAATGCTTCTGAGAAGCTGCATCACCCACTATCCCTTTCTTCTCGAAGGTTTACTTCGAGTGAGGGGGAGGCAGTGTCCAGCAGGACCCCAGCCCTGGGTGAGCAGGCCAGAGATCCTCACCCTCTCTGCATAAGCCGCAAACGATCTCAAGGTGCCTGGCTCAGGAGAGACGACAGATGGCAAAGCCCAACTCGACGGTCGTTTTCAGGAGGGCCGTTAGCAAGTGCCGTTTGGAGAATGACACCTCTCCAAGTCCGGGCAATGCCACTGTCTAAGCCACAGCCAGCAGCAGCATCGCTCCTGGTAACAGAACCCTATTTTCAATTAAAAAAAAAAAAAAAAGACTAAACTGGGCTAGGTGGACACTCTGTATATTCAATAATACTATAATTTATTAAATCCCATCAGCCAGAGGTATTCTAATATTAGCCAGAATACCTCCACACTGAACTCGGGGAGGGAAGGAATGTGAGAAGTTTCAGAGTATGTCGGGAGTCACTAAACAATTCAAACTGCTCCCCCAGGTTTGACCGTTTCTGCCTTGTGTTTGCATTCTCCTGTGGGCCAGGGTGTGAGTTTTAGATATTCTGTTGAAATAAATAGAAAAAGAGCTGCAAAACTCAAGAGAAATTGAGATGGGTTTCGGAGGGTGGGGTTTCAGCTTTTCAGGACCACAGCCCTGCAGTCCCCAGCTGGACCCTGGCCTTGGCCTTGCCCTGACCTTTGTTAATGAAATACAGCAGATACAGAATGATCTAGTTTTGTGCCTCTTCTCCCTTCCTGCCCCTTCTGTTTTCTTTTTTCCTTTATTATTCCCTTACTCTGATCAAACTTTTCAGGAAGCATTTTTATCTTTCATTCTCCACACTGGTAATCACATACTTTCACACACATGCATGCGCGCACACACACACATGCACACACGCACACCATCAGTCACCACCATCCACTACCTGCTGGTTATCAATCTGCAAAGCCCTGCCCCCCACCCCCCATCCCTGGGGTACAGATGGCACTGTTTGGCACTGTGTCTGGAATTGGCATCTCCAAGGCATTGCTTCCCGTGTGGCCTGGTCACTGGGCTATTTCTCAAATCAAGTTTAGCCCTCATGCGGGGACTTAGAGCAGAGGCCCCAGTTATAACAATTATGGGCAGGACATGGGGATGACTCTGGAACCACGTGGCCCCATGTACTGTGCCTGAGACATGGGGGGGGGGGAGCAAGCTGAGGGCCACGGGAGTGACAGCCCTTGTAACCTCATCACCTTGGTTCTTGGAACATATGCCTTCTGGAAGTTCTGACCAGCTTTGCACATCCCCCCAGGACACTAATACTGCATTGACATCTTACTTTTATAAAAAAGCGAGGAAATGTGAAACGCATACCAAACCAATGGTACCAGGAACCTGAGAAATTCTACAGATAAGAAATGCAGTCTTCCTCTGGGTAGAAAACATTTCAAAGAGATCACAAGTCATGCTGGGTGGGTTTTCTCATTGAAAAAAAATGACTCACTTAAGATGGCCACGTTTGCAGCCACGTGTGCAGCCACGTGTGCAGCCGCTCTTCAGACTTAACCCGGTGGGTGAAGCTCAGGTTCCGAACGGAGACAATCCAGGGCAGCGGCCCCCTCCATGCTGCCAATTTTATGGGCACCAATTTTATAGACCTCCTTTGTTATCTGCTTGTTAAATGCCGCTCTTATGGACTTGAACCATTCTAAAAGTATTTCAAATACCAGGCAGTATTGTTTCTATGGCCCTGTCCTTCCTCTTTCTCCCGATTTTCCCCTCAAATCCCTGTCCCTTCCTTTTCCCTCTAATTAGCAGTCAGCTGTTACATTCTCAGTAAAAAAAAACCCTAATCTGTGGCAAGGCCAAGTCTGAGCAGGAAGAGCTGAGGGACGGTGAGGTTAGCTGTCTTCCTTTCTGGCTGCGCCGGGCTCGGACGTGACCAGCTACACGGCGGCAGTCATGGGGTTCTTCTGCCGAGGATCCTGGCTTCGGTAGTGGTGGTCTGGGCTGCCCCCTCGGGGCCCTGCCCTGCCCATTTCCTGATAGGCTGGCACTCTGTGGTGCTGAGGGGGCGAGGGCGGGACATCTTGTCGAAAGGGTCCTTTGTGCTGGGGGGCTGGGGGAGGTGGGTAGTACTGGGGATACCGGAGATCTGCCACCCTCAGGTCTGGGGGGCGGGGATAGCTCCCTTTGGGCGGGTGCACGGGATGAGCCCCGGGGTAGAAGGGAAGCTCCCGCTCCTTGTAGAGCCCCCGATGTGCTGCTGTCAGGTAGTCTGCAGGGTCAGCGGGTCCTCCCCTGAAAGAGAGAACAGACATGTATCAACAGCGACCAGGCGCCTGCCATTCCTCTGTCGTCCATTAGGTGTACGGCAGACGTTCGGTCAAGCCAACGACAATGAAGAACCACTTGAATTTAAGCTTTATAAATGCCTGCGAACCAACCCTCCAACTGTCACCAGCCAGAGGTCACAGGACTCTTCCCAGTACGTAGGAGAACAGTGGGCGTGGCCAAGGGCATGAGCGCAGAAGTGATGTATGCCCTCACAGAGAAGAGAGGGCACCTGTTTCTTCTCTTCTCTCCTTCCTGTTGGCCACTGGAGTGGCCATTTTAGACCACAAGGAGAAAGCCACATGCTGAGGAAGGCAGAGCAACAGGTGGCAAGAGCCTGGGTCCTTGACGCCTTGGAGCCACCATATCAGCCAGGACTGCTTACACTCAGATTGGTCCATGAGAGAGAAAAATACTTCTATCTTGTTTATATTCTCTTATGCTGGCCTTTATTACAGTAGCCGAACTGGTTTCCTAAACAAGGCAAAGTTGGGCTCTCAAGTTTGGCTATGATCATTGCACCCCTTTCCTTCTGCCTTTCTGCAGCCAGTCCTGCATCTGACGGTAGAAATGCAGAGGCTATTTGGAGACCGAGTTCCCATGGATTACACGCACTTCTCTCCCAGGCCTGTGGGTGCTCTTTACACGGGCCATGGTCTTAGCCTACCTGTTTTCTGTCACATCCCGGTGTGGGCGTGTGCTCTCCTCCTCTACAGTTCCTAGGGAAGGTCCCAACCCAGAGCTGGGAACTACTCACCCAGAACTTTGATGAAAGCAACTCTCCCACAAAGTCAAGAAGCACCGCCAGGCCAGTAGCAGAGTCGGAAAAGCCAAACCAGCTGTACATTACACAGTGTAACCAGTAGGCACACAGAAAGGTCCAGGGCAAGAATACACACTCACAGAAAGCGACCCTGTCTAGATCTTCCTGCTAAAACAACAAGCATCTTCTGATCCGTTTGCTGTAACAGAAGCGATCCGTCTCTAAACAGATGACCGCATCTTCTCTAGCCTGGGGTTAAACAGATGAGTTCTGTTTGCAGCTCTTAAAATCCCATAAACCTTCTGTGCACACACACACCACCCTCACCCCCAGATCCTTCCCACTTTTTACCCCCTCCTCATTATATTTTTCTAAGGAAAACAGCAACCATCAGAATGAATGAAGAGCTCGTCGATCAGAGTACAGACTGGCAGAACACTTGGAAGAAATGACAGGGCTGCTAGAACAGAGTGTCTGTGGTTAATCAGACACCATCAATGAGGGTAACAATCACCCTGTGATCTGCAGAGTCTGATGTTAGAACAGCTCTGTAAGTTCCTCAAATCAACGCAGGTATGACAAGCTCCAAGCTCCAAGCGGGTGAGCACATTTATAAAGCTGAACAATAGAATTCTCTCTCTACTTCTTTATGTCTTCATTTGGCTATGTATAATAATGAAAGATGGATCCTCGAGCTTAGGGTAATTTAGTCAGTGAGAGTTTCCAGATAAAAAAAATTAAATTGTTTACGTACAAGTTATTACAGCATCAACTGCTATTCTTCAGTGCAGTGTGCTCTGCTCTATATTAAATGGCCCGTGACAAATCGGGCACAAATACATCATCTGTCACCCAGCCAGGGGAAGCTAAGGATCAGGATTTCACCTCCCCTTTCCCGGGGAAGTTTATGTTTGATTTAGGAAATTTCCAGCATTCATTATATCTTTTATCATAAAATATTGGGAGCTCCCCCACCCCGACACTCGTTTCTACTTTCTTTGGTTCATGTTAGAGATTTCCGAAACGCTTAAAAAAAAAAATCCTTAACCTGTGCTTTCTCTCCAAATCTACTGAAGATATTTCTCTGCATGAAGAGAAACATGTGGTTTTTCTGCGCTCATTTTAAGCCCTTGGGATAAATCACTGACATTTGCAGCACACAAACATTATCTGCTTTAAAACGAACACGCAGCCGGCGCTCCCCGCGGACCCTCTTAGCCTGGATGCTTCCTGTTTCAAATGGAAAGAGAGAAAGGAGGGATTCCAGGCCTCGGCTTCCAGGGTCCTAGTCTCTCCCCGGAGGCTTCTCTCTTCTAAAACAGAACGTTATAAAAGGCAGGCACGCCTGTTTCTTTGGGGAGAGAACCCAGATCGAGCGGTGACGGGGCAGAAGCCACCCCGAGAGCCACCACGCAGTGCACATGGGGACAGGTGCCATCTCTTCCCCTCACCTCACCCCGAGACTCCCGCCTCCCACGGCAGAGCCACGGCAGTGTGTGGCCACGGCGTCCTGTGAGGGGAGGCGCTACGCCCGGGATCTCACACGTGGCAGAACCCACCCGAGGTAGCTGCTCTTTGTCCAGAAACGAAACCATGGAAATCCTCTTACTCTGTAGAACGCATCAAAAACAGTTATTATTTTTGGTTTTTCAGAGAGAAGAAAACAATGAGCTGGCCGACACAAACACTGTTCAGGGCTCAGAGTGCTAGAAAAAGTCTCTTTTCTTTTTGATCGGTGGGGAGTTGCTGCTGTTGATAGTAACTTTTTGCTCAAAATAAAGAATTTTCTACAGACTTTTCCCAGAACAACGTCTAAGTGCTTTTGAATATTGTGCACACGCGTGCGCGCACACACACACACACACGCACACACATTTAAAAGAATGATTTTTTTTTTTTTATCCTCACCCGAGGACATTTTTCCATTTTTTGTTCAGATAGAGTGGGAGGGAGAGAGAGAGAGAGAGAAACATCGACGTGAAGGGACACATCGAGTGGCTGCCACCCGCACAACCGACCAGGGCCGGGGACAAACTGCAACCGAAGTACATGCCCTTGGCGGGAACTGAACCCAGGTCTCTCAGGACCGCAGGCCGACGCTCTAACCGCTGAGCCAAACCGGCCAGGGCTAAAAGAATGATTTTTAAACAGAAAACGAAGCCCTCCTCACTAACTAATGAACTTGACTGAGAGGAGGAAGAATAGGAGCTAAAACGTTAGCTTTGTTAATCTTCAGTTTCCCTCCCACAGTTTCTTTGGGTGAAATTTTGTGTTTGTAGGAAAGCACAGAAGACCAGTCCATGCTGGGGCCTGACAAACACGTGTTGCAGCCACCAGGCTGGATGTTCTGAGTCACCCGCGTAAGCAATGCGGCTTCCTCTGGAGACTCGGGTGCAACAGGGTCCAAACAGAACGTACCAGAACTCCCAGACCCCTCATTTTTCATGTGACCTCATGAGTTTCATTGTGTGTGTTACTGCTCTTTTTAAAAACAATTCCCCATTGAAAACTCACCCAGGAACCATATTTACTCAAGGAAAGAGAAACAAGCCTATATTTGCTTTCTTTTTAAAGAACTCTTTGAGGAAGCTGTCATGAAAATATCTATATTTAATAATTTTGCTTATTTTTCTTTTGATGTTTTTCACTATTTACTTTTTATTTTAGTTTTGATTAGGCTCATTTTTGAGGCCAAATGGATTCAGATTTTGCTTGGAAAACCCACAGGACTGTCTTAGACATACAGCTGCCAATCACGCAGACACATGCAGTAATAAATGTTGACCTTTAAGTCGAAACATGAGAGAGCCAGGTGGTATGGACATATGAAGAAACAATAAAGATCACTTTCTTTATATGAGGTTTTCCTCCTTTTGCCATTTTCGTATGTCACTATTTTTCATTAAACAAAAAAGTGGCTGGAAATCAGAGACCACACGGGTCAGAGAGCCAGACCCGGATACCAAGTCTTCATTTTACGGAAGGATGGAAGGCTCACCTCTGTATTATGGTCCAGCAAAGAAATTTTCTTTGTTTCTGTCATAACACAACAATCTAGGAACATCTTAATATATATATTGAAAAATACAGTTCACACAGTCTCAAATAAAAAGTCTTAGGGAGACGATGTCAAAGGAGAAAACCAGGTGCAATCACCACAGTTTCAAGTACCTGAGCTTGAGGATGGAGAAGCACCAAGCACTGGCAGTGATGCCCAGTTCCCCTCTGCCACAGAGCTTCCCCAGAGTACACGTGATGGACACCCTGCATACAAACCTCTGCACAGAGGCAGAGGCTAGGACTATGCAAACTTCACCTCCTGCTGTAACCGATGCCTTTCCCTCCCACTTAGAAAAACAAAACAAAAAACACAAGGAGATTCAAGAGTAGGGGTGACAACAGTAAGAGAGAAAACTCGAATCTGCTATCATTTATTAAAAGAAATTATTTCAATCTTTTGTTCTTAAGGATCAGTGACAAATCTTTGCAATAAAGAGCTGATCATGATTGACTGTGTGTATCGGCTTCCTCCATCCAGTGAGCTCCCTGCAGGAGGTAGGACAGGGGAAGTTGAAGAACAGGGGAAAACATCTAGGGTCGAGCTGGAGTCAGGCAGGTGTAAAAGTAAGACACGCAGTAAAAAGTGTAAAAGCCATAAGGAAAAGCTTCCAAAGGGCAGAATCTTGTTCCTCTTAACTTCTATACAATACTATGCATGCCAATAACTGCCAAACCAAAGACAATTTCTTAACTTCCAAGGTAGCCTTCATAAGTTTCCTTTTGTTGTAGTAATGGACTGTGACTAAATTTGGAGTTCAAGTAAAAGAAAGTAGCATGATGTTAAACTGCTGGTGTTAAGAGAGGTCTTTGTACCCTTGGCAGAAAGTCAATGTCTGGCAAAGCCACACGACGCTCAAGTACGCCACGTGGAGATTACTTAGTGGGGATGATGTGGGTGCCTTCTTCCCCGGTTCTTCAACAATATGGCAAGGCTAAGAAAAGATCAGCACACACGGATATACTGGTAGGCGCTTGGGTCCCTAAGCTGTGTGGCCAGAGATGCTTTCAGCCTGTGTTTGGAAATTCCTTCAGTGTCAGATTTCCAGTTACCAGGCCTTCCTCCTTCGCCCCCGGCATGAATGCGGTTGGCCAGGATTAGCAGAGCCCTCTGCACTGTATACCACACAGCTATGGCTTCTGCAGA